GGATTTTAAAAAAAATCCCAAAACACACAGCGTACTGGGTAATGTATTATATTCAGTTAATATTGCCCATATTATAAGCGGGTTAGTACTTTAACTATTATCTAAAAGAAATAAAATAGAATATCAATGATAAAGATTTTATAGTCATGCTCGAAGTTTCTATTTATGTACATATTTATTACCCCATGCATTATTACCATGTTAATATAGGTCTTAAATGGGCCATAAAAATCCACACTCTATTTCTTGTGTTCTTTTTGCTATATGTTCAGATGTTATAAGTGTTTCTAGTTTTATTTCTACAGAAATATCTACACATAGAACTATTTATAAACTATCGAAAATACATTTTGTATTTTTTCACGTAGTACGAAAAAAATGGTCTTATTAAGGGGCAAAATGATAACGCCTTTTTTCATGGAAATTGTGTACATGTATATTACACAGATGACAAAAATATCACCCAAATATTTATATGCTCAAGAGAAATATATTAAGTAAGGCCAGACCAATTTAATTTTTAGTTCTTCGAGGCTTTTATCTATAAAGAATCCAGTCAATTCATGTGTGCGTTTTTTTTTAGTTTCAAAACTTAAATCTGGAGAAATTGAAAGCATAATTCAAATTGGTCAGGCCTAAAGGATCGTCAGCGTTCTGCTATACCTTGTAGTACGTCTGTAAGAGAAGATTTGGCACTATTGAGACTCGTGTGGCAGGGAATGGTTATCTCACCGCCTATCCTGCTGAAATTGGCTGGATATGGCGCTAAGAGACATCTTATCAGGCGACCTCTTGTCACGTCATCATTGGAACATGATTGCGAAGAATTCACTTTTCGGATGAAAATCATTTTTCTCTTGTTCATGACGGATGGTAGAGCTCAGGTATGGCAATGTAGGAACGGGACATATGCAGAGGAAAATCCTAGAGCAGGTTCCATTGGGCGGTGGCTCTATCGTGATATGGGGTTGGTAACAGTTACATGTTATCTCAATGGTCACCGATACCAAAGAGCGACCCTGGGCGGTCCACCGGTACCAAAAAGAGATCCTGGACGGTGTTGTAGTGTTGACAACCATTCTTGATCACACCACCGTGCGCGTGTCGTTGTTGATTTTCTGCACGAGGAGGACGTTGATATACTACATTGAATCCTATATAGTTGAGTATTCTTGGGTGTAAAATCTTTCAGGGGGATCCACCCGTGCAAAATTTTGAATGTAACCGATTAAAGAAGACTGGTTCAGTCAATGGGGTGGGGAGTGCAGCATGAGATCCAGACTGGTGGCGGGTACACCAAATATTTTCTCTTTTTTTGCGCATTTGGCGTCGTCTAGATTGACAGCTTAAATATGAAATGGAATAAACTGAACTATGGGAATATCCTATTGATCTGAGGCATGTTTCACGAAATTTTAACTAAGATAAAAATCCAAATTTTAGTAATTTGATTGGATAATATTAGATTGATTTAAGTGCTTAGCCAGTCAAAATGGAAGTATCTACTAAAATTTGGATTTTAACTTTAGTTAAGATTTCGAGAAACAGGGTCCTGACTGGACTTGGTTTTACCCATTTTCCGCTTGTATTGTGAACTCGGAAAAAACCCCACTGTATTCGCTACTTTAATTTCAGTTGTTGTCTTTCTTTTGTTGGTTCAGTGTTTCCTCGAGCAAGTTTAGGAAGATTAGATACATTCCAGAATACTATACCATAGTACTATATTCAAATAGGGGAGTTGCGATACTTTTTTCTCTGTGTATACATTCGGAAAGACATGACTAGGGACAAGAAAGGAAAGTATTCACCGTCTTTGCTACTTCTAAGGAACTGAAATGGTTTAACATCTAACTTTACTGCACCAACCGGGTTAATAAAGACCGGCATACGCCGCGCAGTGGGTTGTGGCGAACATTTTGCAGGGACAGCGGTGTTTCCGCCGACTCTTCCTCAAATTCTAACTGCCAATTAATTCTTTTTATACGTCAATTTGCACTGTTTCTTGTCAGGCTCTCCGTCCTGCAACACTGACAAGGGTAAAATCCAGATGATCTTTCTTGACCAAGCCCCTGGTTAGTGGTCCAGTGCCTAATAACCGGGCCACTGCGGATCCTCACTTATAAGGGTTAGAATCATTTGTATGATATCTGTGTGCAACTATCAGAAACTCTGTGATACTATATCGAAGAAATGCAAATTTTCAGTTTCGTGTGAAACTGGCCAAATGTCTCGGGAGAGTCTGGATTACCAGGACCAGGGCATAACAGTTTACGATATTTAACAGCTAATTAAAATTCTACATTAAGTTTAAATGTAAACGCCCGCTGCCACCGATGGTTATATCGCAGACAAATATTTCCCAGAAAACTTGCTAGAAGAGCTCGTCCAATGTCGGTCGGGAAAATGAGGGCGAAAAGGGTAATTCAAAGACCCAATCTCCAGTTGTGTCTTTTGAGGTACAACGGTTGAAGTAAGCTACCAGGACCATTCTCGCTCCTATCTAACACGTGGCTCCAGGAAACTAGTGGTAATTAACGTAGCATAATCCGGATCGCCGGCGGCAATCAGGTGCAGAGCAGACTCGGTGACCTATCGGAGATGCCACCTTGCTGAATTTTGACCGTTTCGCTTTAAATCTACAGATGCGCCATTATACAACGAAATAATAAAAAACAGCCTATACACACTATAGTCGTTCGGATGGAACTAAAAACCATGTATACATTGCCGTGCACGCAAATGGTCTCCTGGCAGTTGGAATTCGAAATAAGTGTAGACCGTAGCGCCGCTGCCCGGACGAAAAATTCCCTCATAGGACACGGTACGGCGTAAGCCTGTCTTCATTACCCCAGTCGGAGCAGAACAATAGTATGTTAAACCCCCATTTCATTTCATTTCCATAAACACTATGGTATTTCCACATCATGCTTCTATCAAACCTATAATTAAATGGGCACAGGGTAAGCTTTACGAAAATGTGTAATCCCATTGGTGGTGTTTGTAAAAGATCATAAGAACTTACGTAGGGCACACATGATTGGTATCCGGGTTTAACTAGGTACCTTACTTTTTTGTTATTTACAAAAACTGACCAATAGAATGACGAGCATGTATAATATATAATACAGTACGCAGCGGGCCTAATAATAATAAGTAAATATAAATAAATACGTTACATATAAAAATAAGGGTAATATCTAATTATGGAACAGGATAAATAGAATCGGGGCTGTTATAAAGAATTGCAGCAATGGTTAATTGTCTGATAATGCTCGTAACCATTGCTTCGGGAATATGCCCACCGTAAATATCTATTTTTCATATGTATTCAAGTATATTGCCCTTTTAAGATTTATATTCGAATTTAAAAAAAAAGTACATAGATAAGAGTGGCATTAGAGAGCCCCTAGTATAAATCTGCCATTTAGGTGGTATGTCAAGTTTTACCTATGTTATATATAGTTACATGTATTTTGATATCTTATTGACATATTATAACTGTAGACTACACGATATAACAATAGATTGATCATTGATTGACCACTATTGTTGTCTGTCACATTCTGGAGAAAATGGCGTAATGATGTGTGACGATATTACAGCCTTTGATGAATGACAGGTCATTGACAATCAGGGTCAATACAGATAACCTCTGTTGTCAAATCCATATTAAACCTTTCGTCTAATGACAAAATACCCCAATTATTTTTTCTAAAAAATAGTTAATTAGGAATTCACATAGTTAATAACTTTTTGTGTTCCTTTTGTATTAGAAACTACTATAAAAGAAATACAACTAAGCCAAGTTATAAACCCCATCGTGATCGGTGGTCTATACATTGGGTCGTTACGATCCAAACCCATGTAATTTATGAATGAAATAAAAAAATGTGGAAATTGATTATCAACTGATATTAGGTATAGTAAAAGTAATTCTAGGTATATATTACAATTATTTTTGCTACGATCATTAGCATATAGTCTCTTGTATAATATTTAGGTATGTAAATGGGCATGTACACCTTAATAAGTTATCAGCCTCGACACAATGCTTCCACAACCCACGCCCCCCCCCCCCCAAAAAAAAACCCCCAAAAAACAAAAACAAAAAACTACCATGCAACTTGAATTTAGAAGGTAAATGATATAACTGTTGGAGATTTTTTATAAGTGCTCATTTGCCCTAATATGGTATCTGGAAGATCAGAAGTTGACTGCGAAGGATCATGCGGTTGATGTAAATACACTCTGGTGCCATCCTGTTTTTCTGTGAAATAACTATCTCGATAGTTAAAATCCCGATCCTGATTAATAATACTGACCTGGCTTGCTTTAATGGGCCAAGTCTTGTTTGAAGGGCGCAAGTGTCGGGGCGGGATTGGGCGTCATCGGAAGAAGAGGTACAACAGTGGGAAGTATCATATATATTTCACCATTAAACTAAATCTTTAGCATTATCTGGATTTTGTTCTCATAATTTTGAACTAATTATAAAATGGAAGGCCAAAAAAACAAACAATTGTTATCTTTTAAAAGGTAGGCGGACTAGCCCAATAACCTATCTTTTATAGAAATAAGTAGGTAGAAAAAATCCCATCACAAAATTAGCCCATTTTGTAAACAATGATGCATTTGGTATACTTGACAATATAATGCTTTATAACTGTTAAACACCCGCATCATAAATTAATAGATTGTTTGGTCATCGGCATTCCAAGACCCTCCCCAGTTGGGACAAACCACTAAGTAAGCTTAATGAAACTAAGTATCTCACACGAATAAGAAGATTAATATAATATAGATTTAGCTTGATGTCAAAACCCATACTGATCGTCAATTCATGCTCATTATATATGTGGAAAAAACATGGGCACTTTTATACGGTCCAAAGTACCAATTTGGCACACACCTTATTCGAAACTGACCACCGAAAATGAAAATGCAGCGAACCATGAAGTTGAAACAAGCTATAGCCATATTGCTCTAAATACTCGGGCCAAATCTCGCCGTACGAGATCTCCTCGAAGACCTAGGACTAAATCCCGCATTAGTGAGAACTCCCGGGACGTTATAAGTGAACAGACAGCGTTTGTTTCCTCAAACGAGAACAAGATGTCTAAGACAGAGTCGAAACCCATCTATGCTGGTGATAGAGATAGAGATGTATCTAATTGCATTGGAATAACTATTGGCGTTTTTGCGGTTATTTCTGGACTTGGAGGTAAGATCGAGTTTTATTGAAAGTTTAAAAACACTTTTGCTTTAGCCTAACGATTAGATATTATCTGTTTTCAGTTAATTGATATTGAATACATTTAACTTTTACTTAACTTTTGTTCTTTGATATTTAAGTTCAATAATTAGTTTAGTGAATATCCAGAACGTACAGTTTCGATTGATAACAATGGTTGTGCTTTATTAAGTTGACAGAAAGAAAACGCAATTCAAATAGTTAGAATAGGTTTAACTTTTACTTTACTTTAGTTCTTTAATATCGAAGTTCATTGTTAGTTTAATGAATGTTCAGAATTTATTTTAAGTATCAAATGTTCATATTGGTTGTGCTCACGCATGCTGATCGAAAGGTGAATATTTGGTGTGCGCCGTTTAATTTAAGCGGAACTTTAATTTGAGGAGCCGAACATCAATGTTTTTGGCATAAGAAGAGGGATCCAACAAAATATTATGATGAAGTTCTGAGACTTATATGCATGCTGCTATGAAGTGATATTTCCGATACTAATACAATAGTTAAACTTTGATTACTATACTCTTTCTATCAAGAATTAAGAGTGGTTGGTGTTTCTTTTTAATTTACAACTGATTTTGAAAATATCAAATTTTCTTTCTGCCTAGGAAAGTACTTCTAGTTATTTTCTATTTGAACCTAATGTCCGTGGGGTTTTTTAAAATTAAAAAGAAATAAAAAAAAAATAATGTCGCACATGAGTGTTATAATAAGATTTAATAACTAAAACTGATTCGTCTCAAGGAAAAAATTCGTTATTCGAAATATAAAAAAACAGTCCTATTATCCCTATTTTGTAATCATTTGATGTGAAAGAATTGTTTATTTCACGTATGATTATAGAATTATTTTAATCATCTTAGTTTTTACATTTAAAAAGGAAAACAACAAATTATTTTCTCTATGTCTTTTGTTTCAGTATTTTTCTGTTTCCTACTTTATGTGATGTATGACAGTTTTGTTGCATGAAATATGCAAGTGGCGTGATTCATTGCATTGTTAATTACTCTTTAATTTCGCATATAACGGGCATCGCCCATTAACATACTACGTATAGAAAACAAAAGCTACTGAACTATTGTCACAGTCTCGTATTAAAACAAAATAAGCAAAACAAAAACTGTATACTCTTTAATGACAAAGCTGTTAACTTCGACATGGCGTGTATAAAGAAGGTATATTTAGTCCTTTAGTGAAGTATCACATGCCATGTCTTAATGACGTCGTATAAAACGACCCAGTGATGTTATTCGTACTGTTAATATAAAGACACGGTGACACTTTGAAACAACGACTATACATGGATATATCTTTTAATTCTTGTCTTAAATAAACTTTAATATCAGGAACTTTCTAATGAAATACCCATCTCTCGATGACATTGAAAATGAAAAGTGACACGAGTTGTTCAAGCTTGCGTTACTTTACTTTGCATCATGTACGCTCATTATTTTAGTCCTGAAGACTAAAGAAAGACATAATTCGCTGAGCAAATTATGTTGTCTTTGATAAAAATAATTCTACGAGAATCGATTATAATCTTTAAGAGGCATTAAGAGAATCGATTAGTTGAAAAAATTTATTGACAGATCGCCCACAAACTTAAGGTAAGAAAGATGGATGTTTCAATTAAAGAAAGTAAGTTATCTAGTCGTTAAGGGTATTATTTATGACATAAGACTAATGAAGTCTAAAAGGTCTGTTTGTTTGACTTTTGAGGAAATGGGGCTAATATAGAATTAGCAGTTTACGTCCTTTAAGGCGATTATTGGGTATTGACAATATCCCGATAACTATCGCACTTTTCTTCTGAAGTTAATTTTTTCTGGATTCACAATTCAGACAGATGTTAAATACGCTCAAGAAAAACATATAAAACAAACCACACGAGAAAGCTATTATTTTTCGTTAGTGATAAAAAAAACCTTGTTTTGCTGGTTTGTCCTTGTTTATTTGCCTCTCAGTCTGTTTGATTTGTTTAACTTTCCAATCAATCATATAATTATTGGAGTTAAAATGTTTAAATCCTATAGCCTTTGAAACAGTGAAATTGTTTGTAACTGATCTGGTTTTGCACCTGACGAGATACAAAGGAAACATCCGGAATATTAATAGTGTTACCATATCTTTTTATAAGGTAGAAAGATAAACTTCCATTGATTCATTACAGTGCTGCTTATCTACGGCCATTTTGTTTTTTAAGGAATTACAAGATTTTGCCCCCCCCCCCCCACGACCCCGCTTCACATCCCACAAGGGTTAATTGTCACAAGTTAGGGTAAACTAATGCATTATTTTCTGTATCTGCCATTCTATTATTGCGGCACTACAGTCTAGTCTTATTTCGAATTCCAACTGTCACGCCAATGTGTACACGGGACCTCGATTTTTCGTCCCATCCGAACGACTATACGTTGTAACTTGCTAGGCCCTCCGTCCTGTATCACTGACAAGGGAGAACCACGCCGGAAAATCCTGATGAACTTTCTCGGTCAACGCCGGGATCGAACATGGGACCTCCAGAATGGCGAGCCAACGTCCTACTACTTTCCAGTCGGGGCGGAACAGTAGGACGTTAAACCCGATTTAATTTCCTTTCCTACTCAATGAGTCACTTAGGCACCCCAATTGGCACAAAAATAAAGCCATTTATTAATATCTAGATCAAAATCATGAAAAATAAAGTATGCGGTATGTGTATAGTAAATGATTTACGACTAAATAATTTAACGTCTATTTCTGTAGTGAATTATAGGCCAAGCATGTTGGTACCATAAAACAAACCAAAAGTGAATAAAATTGTGACAGTTAACGTAAGAATTGTCACTTTTGACTACAGCATCCCTAGTCAATGTTATAACAAAAAAGTACTTTCATTTTACGGTTTTATCTTCATCCTCAGTGAACTCCGCCCTTCACTTAACCTTTCTTGTCAGACGTGTTACCTACAGATATATACATGATGAACTCTATTGTTCACTGTCAAGGTGACATCTCTATTGAAGATCGATAGTTAGTCAGCTAGATCAATTATTATATCATAAACTAGTATATCTCCAGGCATTCATATCTATAACTTACATCGACTTTAACTTGACCATTTACTGTGATGTAACAAATATAAATGACCATTGAATATAAACAATTGCCAAATTTAGCCTAAGGCGTTGACCAACATCTATCTTGAGTTTTGGACATGGACATTGGACACCCATGGGGCACGTGTTATGGGATCAGTAAATGGTACATCAACATAGATAAACCGAGATTATGAGAAAGCACATAGTTTTAACTCATACAATAGTAATAGTTAGTCGAATAAGTAAAACTGCAAACATAATGATGTTTAAGATTTAAACTTGAACAATATTTTATGATGCTAATGTTGTTGAAAAATAACACGCATCTAACAAATACAAATATAGTAGATGTCAGTGAGATTATTTTTAACAATCTATTATTTACTGTATTCATATATTATATACTTATATATGTCTACTCGCTTACTATGTAAACATATAAATACATAATATGTATATATATATAAGACATCTATATAGCTTCTGACACTTTAGATTTGGGGAGTTGAAAATCTTTTTCCCTTGTGGATGGTTTAACCCATGCCTTTAATTTCCATCTTATGTCAGTGAATTGGAGTCATTTTAAAGGTTACATTTTTATCCCTTAATTTATTCCGAAGAAGTCATCATCAGTTACCAATGCAAATAAATTAAACTCGTGCTATAAGGGAAAGGTGATTTAAAATCTCTAACAAAATCTATAAGGCAATCAACGATGATATTTGAACATTTAAGGCATAATATTCCAGACATAAAATGTACATGTATATAAGACATAAAAAGACAGTCTTTTTAAAAGCATATGGGTCCAAAAATCATTGAAATCTATCTATCCTACGATAATATCTAACCTCGTTTTTTTTATTGAATTGTCTAGATTGCTATATAAAAAGCTTCGTTTTACCCTTATTTTTGTTAAATAAATATCAGGAAAATGACTGAACCTTTTGTGCACTGGGGATTTAATCGATATTATCTTCCTCGGTCAAATGATTGTTTTCACAAGACCGTGTTATTTTTTGACAACAATAACACAAGTTATCATACCTGTTTCTATACAATACCCGTCACCAGTTGGGATCTGGATTCCTGAAACCGAACTACTAATTAAATGGTAACCTCGGGACCAAAGGCCACTATAGTTACTGTAGTCTCGAGGTTAAATAAGTATGTATTAAATTGCCGGATAGCAATTAAAGATTATGATCTAATTGAAATTGCATATTTTCTTTCAGGTGTGGGCGCAATGATTATGTTGAAAGCATTACAGAGTTATAGACCAGATATAGATGGTTATTATATGGCATGTTATCCTGTAAGTATATATAAATATGTATCTATTGTATTAATAGCGGCAAGTAATCTGGAATTTGAATGAGTATGTTTCTTTATTAGTTAAAAATCATACACCCCAAAGGAAGAATCCCTGAAAGCTATTTTGAATTGAAGGTCGTTGTAAAGAACAAATAGAATATTTCATTGTTTGCAAAGCAAACTTACATTGAGTTTTTTGTAACGAATAGAGAACACAAGTTGATAGAATTATAACTCTTCTAACTTCTATGAATCAGCTTGAGTGTAATTTTAACCAGATAAACTTGTTCGGCAAGGATCATCAACTAGTTTTTTCTTATTAGCATTCTGTATAATGCGTACTTGTGGATATTTGAATCACTTCTAGTGACCATTTCTAATTACCTTTAATATATTTTATGGGTCATTATTTAGTAGACTATGAATAGATCTGAAATTATCTTACACAACCTTATCTTACACAAGATATACAACCCCACTTTAATGTCCTGTAGTATAAGATTGATGGTATAATAGAAGTTGACAGTAAATGACAAGAAACAATATATAGCTAAGTTAAAGTAGATATTTAGTCACATTTTTTTGGCATTTATCTCTATGTCCTTCCTTAATTCAAAGTTAAACCTAAACACAAATTCTGAATTGTCAAACGACAGTCCGATACCAAACGACATGTTGATGTCATTTATACTGTAACCTGTGTCACATTTTCTCTTTCTTTCTTAAAATCACTTATGTCAGAAATCTGTTTATAAATCACGGAGGGTATGTTAAACAAAATTTTAGAAAGCCACACAGCAAAGTCATTTTACATAGTTTCGCCAAAATTAGAAATTTACATAACATTTGAAGTCAAGTAATTCACAATATGATATACAATCCCAACTTAATTTTATAGAATCCCAATTATCATATTAGGCAACTGAAATCAGGTGTATGATGACCCAGTGAAGCCTTGTTATAATGCACAGCACGGAATAGAACGCCAATGGGTAACCAAAGTGATCTAAGTTGTTGCAAACACTTGAAACACACAGTTTTAGATATTTCCAATTCCGTCTGCATTGGCCCGAATGAAGCAGAAAAATTAAGATGTGAAACCCAATTCCATTTCAGGCAAAATCATTGCTGAAATGAAAATAAGATTTGGACTATGCTCCCCACATGGAACATTAAGAATTGTCCCTCCTTATTGTCGAATCGGTGTCGACCACAAGGTCCCGACGGTCTAAACTAAATCAGGCCACAACCTCTGAGATCTTACCATGATTTTTTTTTATTTAAATATATTTCAGTTTGTATTCCCAGCGATCACTGGCGTAGGCATGGCATATAAAAGAAAAATGGGATCGGTAAGTTATGATTATTGATAACTAAAAGTAGTATCATAAATAGATTACACAATTAAAAATAATATGTCAATTTACACTCGAGCTCGAGACGGGAGGGGGGGGGGGTACATCTCAATACAGGTCTAAATAGTTTACACATTCCAGTTTCAATAAGTGCTGGAAAAACATGCATATTTGAAATAATATCTGTAATATTGAAAGATTATGTTGATGGAAGTCAATTTCCGGACTATACATTCATCTAATTACGGGTATGATATATGACAAAATATTGATTAGATATTCTGTTTTGGATATTCTTTATTTCAGTTAACATGGAAAGCGGTGACTGATTAGTGCTTTGGACAAGAATGTCCGGGTTTCTAATTATAGAGAATGCTGAGAGCAATCTCGTAGTATTGGACACTTGACAATAGTCTCAAAAATGTTGTGTTGAAACCACATTCTTCTCCTTTATTTCAGTTAACAATACATTTTGGTATTTTACTATTGGGTATGATTGGTGGCTCTATCTTCTATGCTTTCTCTGTATTACCGGTTTATGAACACCGACTTGAGTGTGTGTAAGTATATATACTATTGTCTCCACCATTTGCTTTGCAAATCGAATTTTTACTCGAGCTGCTAACATGGAAATTGAGATGTTTCATTCGTTAAATACTGTATTTGTATTTACATATCATTCAACGTCTAATTGATCATGTAAATTATCACGTGAAAAAATGGCACATAAAGCGTGGGGCAAACAGGAGATGAGAAAGGGTTGAATGGAAAGTAAATATTATAAATACAATATTGGGTAAAAACAAATTGTAAGAGGGTGCATAAGATTTGTTTAGGGTGTGAAGTTACCACTTACCAAACAAAATCGCCAGTCAAGTAATTAGGCTTGGAAGGCTAAAGGCTAGGGCCTCAAGATCTAGGGGACCTTTGGCCAAGGTGTATATTATTTTTGACACTGTCATAAGCTTTTCTTACACACACTGTAGCCTTAAACGATCATCAATATCCTCGTCTTTGCTGAATTCTGTTAAAAACACACGTTCACCTTCCTCTAGCCGCGGGGGTGGGGGATTGGGAGGAGGCTCATAAGTGGAATAGCCTAGGGCCTCTCTTCATCTAAATCCGACACTATTTCCATCCGACGTGAAGGAAAAGAATATTGTGTACACGTTTTGTTTGGTTTATTTTTTCAACCGATCCTCTAGAGATTGTATGTAATGACAATATAATTACCTGAATCGCATGCTGTTCAAGTAGTGTTGAGCAGACATTTGTGGCAAACATTTTCCTTGTTATTAGACAAAGTCAACCCAATGTATTTAAATCCTTTGAGTGTTGAGTGTATGTGAATAAAAAATAGTAATTCGAACATAATCTTCTAAGAAAACTAACATAAGCACACTCCCAAGTGTAAAGTAACCACTTTTAAACAGATTAAGCTATTTCATAACTTCAATTATTGTCTTGATTGATAATGTTTATTGTATTTTATATTTTCAGTGATGCTGTTATGAAAGGAGATTGTCAGAAACATGTTCTTATCTATCTGTATATTGCTTTTGGTGCTGCTGGTGGATTTTTCTCTATTTTAGGCTTCCTCGTTTCTATGTGTGCTTGCAAACAAGCCTCGGTAAGTTGTCTCTTTTGTTCCGATTCAAGTCTGTTTCTCAAGATTGTTTATACTTAGCAATGGTCAAGATACGTGACCAAATTGAACAAAGCCATGCAATCGTATAAGTTGATTCGTCGGATGTGGGGACACAATGTACAACAGAAAGACACGCGCATTGCCAGATATGATGTTACATTTAATAAACGAGAAATCAAAATGCTAAAAGTTTGAATTCGATTTTTTGGGCTGTTACCACGCCGTAAAATGGTTTTCAGACTGTTCACTATCAATAACTTCCGCTGAGCCAAATCGTTCTTTTGATCTTATTTGATAATCGTGGCTACGGTGTGGCAGGGTGAGAGAATCGCAATTGATGATCATTGTCAAAGATAGCGATGTAATTTTGTCGTGATTTACAATCCTTGGATGGCGGCTATTTAATATTACCGTATGTATTTACAGAAAACCATTGCCGACAGGAAAAGCAATCACGAATTACAAGAGCAGTCGAAACAACAGGCAGACTTGGAAGCTGCTAAACAAAAAAAGCAACAGGCATTTAAATCAAATTATACGCCACCGACACTCAATGGATCTGAAAAACAAAATGGCAGAGAAAAACAGAATGGAGGATATGACAATTTAGCCCTAACTGTTGATGAGAAAGTGATGACAAAATTGTAAAAATAATATTTGTGCAAATTACATTATTTGTTTTCTAATCTTTGTCTCGGACGCAATTTTAACGAAACAAATTAAATTAAAACATTATTACAATTTCAAATTCATAAAATCTACAGTATCACTCGGATGAAAACATGTATAAAATAATAAATAACAAAATTACTACTTCTAACGATTAAAAATTTGTCTATTTTGGGACAACCATAAGAGAATGTTTCACTAAGTGAATTGATTATATTGTGACCTTTATGCAGTGGCGGATCCAGGTGGGGGCTCTATGAGCCCGGGCCCGGGCCCCCATAATTACCAGTATAAAAAATCAGTTATTATTCTGTTTCTATGAAACTTGTAAATTTCAGCTTTTTATTGGTTGGGATGATCGGGGTAGACGTCCATATATGCGCAACAAATCACCATTGACACTCCGGTTTTTCCAAATTTTCTCCGAGAGACACTACCAATTCCCCCCCCCCCCTTAATCAAATATCCTGCGTCCGCCAATGCCTTATGTACTTATATAATGTACTTACAATCAAGTGTATTTAACTGTGCGAGTTGGTGTTATGTAATATACAGAATGTATATAATGTCATATGTCCATTGTTTTCTTATTATCTTTCGTTTTCTTAATATGTTTTTAAGCAATACAAGTGTTGTACTTACTGCTTTTTAGGGACTATACAACTTACAAGAATTAACTGATGTAAATGTGTCTTTAATGTAGAATGATTGCAGTGAGAGTATGCAGTAAATGTTTGTTAGTATGTATGTGCGATTTTGTACTTATATTAAACAATGTTTTATCAATGAATGAAAGGGTTTATGTATTATATCTACATATATAGGTTTATTTTGTCTATCCTCTACTTTCAGTAAATATCACTATATGGTATATGTCTGAACATTATTAAATTATACAAATTGTAGCAGTTATTCGTTTTATTTATTTTTTATTATTTACGCCGAGTACATATTTGTCTGCTGAACTCTCCGCCTGTTCCCGTTACAGCATTAATATGGGGCTAATAGTATCTTTATTACTCGACAATCGAGATTATAAACCATGTAAATAGGAGTCACACCGCATTTATGGTGGCTGATTGGTATCAAAAAGCGACAACCCGACATTTTAAAGCGACACCACAACTACCTGACACCACAACATTTTAATCCGACAATACAGCATTTTCACCCGACACCACGACATTAAAAACCGAGGCCCCATTTACATATTGGCGTGCACTAAAAGTTGCCCATGACAGATGAAATTCAATTTAAGAGTAGTCCCTAGGCAAAGTGTCCCTCATATTACACTGTATAGCATATGTCCGTCTTCATTAGTCCAGTCGGAGCAGAAGGAAATGAAATGAAATGGAGTTTAAGGTCCTACTGTTCTCCTCCGATTGAGCTAATTATGAAGAAGGGCTTATGCCAAACATTGTGCTATGAGGAAAATTTTTCCCGGGCAGCGGCACTACAACCTACTCTAATATCGAGAACGACGCTGCAAAATCCCGGGGAACTTTCTTGACCAACACCAGGATCAGTGTACATAATCATTATGAGAGGAATATGGCCGACATCACATCATGACATTTTAACCCGACATTACGGGTTGTCGTGGTGTCGGGTTTAAATGTCGTGATGTCGGGTTGTCTGAGCATTATTTTTAAAAATTTAAATCCGACTGTGATTTGTCAGTGCTACTTGGTTAAGCTTTCGTTGTATACTCCCTTTAGTTCATATTATTTGAAATAAATACTGGCAGACGACATCTGATCGGAACAAAAGTAATCTGAAGAAAGTATTACCTTAATTATATTTCAAAATGTAAACATTAGATTGTCTCATTACACCGATGTTTATTCCCCCCCCCCCCCGCCTTTCGAAGAAAGCAGGGGACTATTAAAATGGGTTATTTTACCTACCGCAGGAATATTGTTATAATTTATAAATAAAGAACCACGTCCATTCTTTGCATATGGTTAAAATATACTATTTTAATCTTGTCTAACTATATTTTACATTAGGTGATGTTATAGACAAAGAGATAAACAATGGACATTGTTAAATAATATTACAAGAAACGGGGTTTAAATGGTTAATATATATGCATAATCAACAATTAGTGTGATGAAAAAGTTTATTTCATTAATCGTGAGAAATGATATATTTCTTTCTGTTTCCGGAGGGTAAATCAGGATGAAAGCCTGGGTTGTTTTGTCCAGATTTGCCAGTTGATCTATCTTTTAGTTCTATTCCTGTTTTTGCCTTGTTATAGAAGCATCGGAATATATCCACCTTTTCACTGAAATACCCCTTTTCATACAGGAAATCAGTTAGTTTGGAGACGAGTATGATGCCGGCAAATGCTGCAAGTGCAGCTAATGTTTTAAAGGGAAATAACTGTCCTCGTTCTTTCGAATACCATGGGAACTCAACAATTGGTTGGAATCCCATGCTCTGTTCCCCTCCAAGAAAACGGATAAGGGATGCTAAAATAATGCCGCATACAGCGCCATAGGTATTAGATAATGGATAGTATACAACACATACAAACTGGGGATATAATATGACATAGACTATATCCGAACATAAATAAAATAAATAATAGACAGATTTAACAGTGATTGCCAAGGCGGTGGCTAAAATAGCAATTGCTATCTGGGATATCCTCATCACCCATATTGTAGCGGTTTCTGAAACCTGAAACAAAGATAATTATTTGGTATAAATATTCATTAAAGCAGGTTCAACTCTTAGTTCAGATTTGAAAATGTTGAAAATTATGTTTTTAAATATCATATCAAGTTGACTTTTCCAAGTCATTTTAGAAAAGACTCCATTATGCGATATGCGTTTTAAAACCTGCCCTTTTCCAATAACTCTACTTACTTTCCTACCAGTAACTTTAAACCAAATGGCACCAAACACGTTCCTGGCGAACATGGTACTTGATGAAAGAATGGCAGAATCGGTAGATGACATAACAGCAGCCGATACAGCACCAAGACCAATGAATGCCACCCAATCAGGGCAGAGATACCTTAAGACTAATGGTAGTATCATACTCCATTTCTCAGGTATTTCTTCTGGTTTGGGATAACTTGTCTGATTCCAGTCTAAAATAGATAATACACTTTATGGTAATGGTAAAACTCCAATACTGAGGCTTTTAACATTTCATATTTCAAGTCTAACATAGATGCTTAAAGGCAAAGTCCCCCGCATTTAAAAAATTTTATTGCATGACATGGTGGGGTTACGTTTATCCAATAGTCAACTGTGACGTCATGGGCTTACCATATCAAATGTAAACATGGGTAATTTTGGAATTTTATTTAAAGGCAATACATTCTGCCGAGTGCCTATTACATATTGCTGAAGCAATATATGTCATCTGCTGGACCCTACAAATTATTAAGCGGCTAATACATTTCTGTGGATGTGTAATCCAAATATATATAGATGAAATAAATCCAGTGAATCTTAATGTTCACTGAACTGGTCTGCAATTCGTATTATGTAAAACAGTGCTTATATTTCATTCAAATACTCCAAAGCTTAACTTCAACTAATTCCAGGGAATAGAACTTTTAGTCACCAAAGGCCTATTATTCAGTAAAAACAGAGATATGTTCTGGACAAAAGTCACAAACCTGCTGAGGCACCAGCAATACCAATTAAAACTGCGGGTACAGCCATGGTAAAACACCCAAAAGCTGCTACATAGGTGAGGGTAGTAGCAATTTTTACAGTACGTGAAGATAAAACTCGCTGTATGATGACCTACAAGAAATTAAACTGATCATCCATGTGCAGCCTGAACAGTGGCTATCAATTTTTAGATTTAAATTATTGATGAAAACGACATGCCTTTGGGAATTCAAATTTGAATAATAATAAACTCTATAAAGGTTTTCTACCTAAACATAATAAATATAAATCAGACTACGTTCTGTATAAATTGCACAATTTTTTATTTTTTTTTATGCAGTTGTGCAGTCCTGTTTGATTTCAAGATATGGATGAATTATGGTTGGATGTTGCGAATAAAATAAATACCGGTAATCTGAATGGAATCCAAAATGTTCTCTTTTCTTGAATCACACTTTCGACAAAGCATTAATGAGACGCTAAAACATGCTTGATTAATGAATTTGAGCGGTTCAGATAGCTAATATTTTTTAATTTTGTTTTTACAATTTTACCCGTTAATTTGTACAGAAATGAAATATAAGAAATATATATATATACCTGCCACGGTACACCACCAAATATATACAGTAGATATGCATCTATATACACACCTATATCAGCAGTATCAACAGACTTGACCCAATTCTCTGTAGCATTGGTACCTACTGATTCTACTGACTTATGGGTAAAAGCAAATGGTACACTTAACCACTGAAAACAAATCATCCAACATATGACAGATTGTTACTAATGGTCAGCTTCTATTTTATTATCTATTGAAATAACCGAAATGGGGTTTAATGTCCTACTTTTCTGCAGCATAACATTGGGGAACCACGCCTGACGGAAAATCCCAATAAACTTTCTCGGACAAAACAGTACCTACAGGTTAGCAAGCCAACGTCTTATTTAGGCTACTGAGCCACCGCGACATCCTGTCGAAATAGATCAAATTGATTATTATTCATACACGTTGAAATATGGTCGAATATTTGCGCCATCCCCGACTGTTCGTCCGTAGTCATTAAGATGTCCAGTGCAAACGTAGGCGATAACATAGAGGAACCACTGCCAGTTGGAATTCAACGAAGAGACGAGTGACTTAGCTGCTGTATATAGTGTCAGCGGATTTAGTTATCAATTTTAGCCGACCCTGCTTATCAAGAGCGGTTTTTTTTGTCAATAGTGCACACATATCCAAAATTTAAATGAATTCATAAAAACGTTTGTCCAGTGTAAGCTGTATAGTTCTTCCCTGTCGGTATTAAACGGCTTTGTCAAAATATCAAATACATAATTTTCTCACTTGTTTTATGGAATCATTTAAAGTAGCAATATTCGAGGCAGACTAATCGGCATATTGGTCCAAAAATGATGAAATTAAAGCAATCCCAGTCAATACGTAATGGGTAACTCATTTAAATTCACAAAAATTGAACTCAAGATGAAAACTGCCCTAATACATTTTTGTTAAAAATTAAATTGTAAAATCACTGACTTTAACGGAGGAAAGAGTATTAATCAATATGAAAAAGATATTCTGATAAAAAAAAACCCTTACCAATCCAACAAAAATACATACAAGCTGAATTACATCAGTGTACACAACAGAATATAGACCTCCAAGCATAGTATATAATAGAGCTATGGCTGCTGATATTATTATAGATGTATTAGTATCTAAATCAACTATCACAGATAACGTTGCTCCTGGAATATAAATAATAGATGTATTACTATTTAAATCGACTATTACAGATTACGTTGCTCCTGGAATATAAATAATAGATGTATTACTATTTAAATCAACTATCACAGATAACGTTGCTCCTGGAATATAAATAATAGATGTATTACTATTTAAATCGACTATTACAGATAACGTTGCTCCTGGAATATAAATAATAGAATAACAACGTTTCCAGTAAGTGAACGTTAAAATGCTTAGCGGATGAGGTACGTGGGTTTTGATGAAAAAACAGAGAACAGCATATGATTAATATCAAGTGATCTTGCTTAGTAGATGGTTTACAACCAATGCAACAATATCTGTTTGACAATAGAATAAATGGTACGTACGGCACCGATGTTTTTTTTTGTTTTTTTTTTCTTTGGGGGGGGGGGGGTAATATAAACTGAGTTTGGAGTTGTTAAATCATCAAACTAATTAGTAATACAAAAAGTAGTTACCTAGAGCATTTAAAATGGCACCTGTCCAAAAAATCTCTCCACAAAGAGCTGGTAAATATAAGAACGCTGCCATGAATTCGCCATATTTTATTTGGAATGGATCCAACATTGTCGTGTAGCATTTCTCTCTCAACTTGGCAGCAAAGAATACACCCACTAGAATGAAATAAAATGATGTACATGTACACTTTCAGCGCGTGGTTCTTAATCACCAAAAGGTATACACTGTATGCTGACTTATGAATGTAATGATTCAGATGGGGAATTCAATCAATTAATAAGATGGTCTAACTGCAGCCATGGCTGTTAATAACTAAACGTGTTTTGAACCGGATTTCGAAAGAATAATCCAGGAGATAACCAGATAGTAAGGACTTCTTAATTAATTTTGTTACGATAAGATAATGGCCAGTAGTGGATCCATGTGTGATCTGAAGTATCTGTGGTGGATGTATCTCGTGCTCACGAAAAAAATGGTCCGAGGGTTATTAACCCCTGTATGGAGTTTATTTCATTTGCAGTTTCGTTGAAAAGTTATGCCTTAGTGTTTGTGATCACAGGCCTCCTTGATAGGAACACTATTTAGAGTATGGGTAGGTAAAATAGGATTTTATGTAGTTGTCAGTGAAGTGTTTCGGTCTTTAGTGGGATAAAGGATTGAGGTAATTGTATCCAGGTCACTGTTTAGAATATTTACACATTGGGTAGGGTGATCAATTTTCAGATAAAGGGAAGTATAATTAGCAAAAAGTCGAACATCTGATGTGATATCATTCACAATATCATTTATATAGATGCGAAAAAGAAGTTAACTGAGAACAGAGTCCCGTGGAACTCCCGAGGGAATAAATAGACGTGGAACCATTGAAGGGTGTCTCTTCGTATCCGCGCAGCTTCAAGCTTGTGATAGAGTCCTGCCCTCGCGTGGAATCCCTGGTCAATGGCTTGACAAAAGTAGTGTGCGATATCTGTAAGTTGGTAAACACTAGTATCCCCATGCAAAAACTGCTCTGGACGGAATTGTCTCTAAAAAAGTTGGAGACATTTTTATAAATGTATTTTTCGAAAATTTAACTAAGATACTAAGAAGAGATACGGGCCTATAATTTCCACAGTCTGGTGGGTCGCCTTTTATTAATATGGCAGTTACATTGGTAAATTTCAAGATATTCTGTACTGTTTTCTATAGGAGGGAGTAGTTAAATAATTTACGTAGAGGTCCAGAAAGGTTGCTCGATATTAATTAGATTAGTTTTCCGCTGATGTTATCTGGTCCACTAGCTTTTGTGGAATCAATAGTAGAAATGATGTCTTCAACCTCCTGCTGGCTGAGGGTAATGTTAGAGAATTAGGTAAAGGATGGTATAAAAATAATTCACTTATTGCTCGGTTTCTATGTTGGTTGGGGCGATGTAGCTGATGGAATTATATGTTACATTCGTGTCCAAATATGCGCCACAAATCTCCATTGAAACTCCATTAACCCAAAATCCGGTATTCATCACCATCCCGCCAACTACTAATCTTATATCCGGTATTTATCATTGAAACGTATTAGTTTTGTCATCGTAAAGTCTAAAGTTTGAGTTTGGTTACTTCCTTGGGCTAATGAAGGCGGACATACGCAATACAATATACTATGGGGAAAATTTGCCCGGACAGCGGCATTACGGACTACTTTTATTTCGAATTCAAACTCTCAAGAGTTCTATTACGTGCAAGCCAATTTGTACACGGGATCTCGGATTTTCGTCCCATCCAAACCACTATACGTTGTCTCTTGCCAGGCTCTCCGTCTTACACCACTGACAAGGGGGAAACCACCCCAGAAAATCATTAATAACTTTATTTGGTTTCAAATATCTTATGCTCGTTATTGTATATTCTTAATAATCACTTCAAATAATTATGTGCAGTTGTAATAAGTATGAAAGAAAGCATTAAAACTAATTTTATTAATAAACATCTTAGAATCAGTAAATTAACAATTTTATTTCCCGGATTACTGTTAGTTTATATAGAAGGCTAAGGTAGTTTGATATCTACAGGGTTAACAACCTGATTTACTACTGACACAAATATATAGACACGAAACTTACCACAGGCAATACTTAGAGAGTAACCAATCGGTGCTTGACACCACAGAATACCCAAATCAGCAACCGCTTCAGCTGAACCGTTGATATAACCACCACCTACCCACGAAGCTGTAAAAATATATTAATACTGATTTATTAAATGGTAGGCATTGTTTTAGAAATTTCACATTGCTGCGGACTTTGCTTCATTCCAACTTTTTCTGTTAGATATTTGCTCCGATTGAGTCACGTTTTCAAAAGTTTCAATTGTGCTCCCCTTTTCGAGAACCCCTGATTCCGTACTTAATGATTTGAAAACCGTTTAACATTCTACATTCTCTACAGACAACGATATATGGTCCAAACAAGCTACAATCTTCGTTAATGATCCGATTCAATCTAAGCTCGAAGATTATCTACCATTGACATTGATTTTGATGGCTTAATTAAAAAATAAATAATTAATTTGAGTACATTGAGCCGTGAAAAATTGATATTTTCCGAAAATGCAAATGATGCTCTTAGTCTTAAACATACATTATGCAAGAGCTAAATCTGTCTATTGCAGGTCTTTCTTTAGGCCTGAAATGTTTTCTAATGTCTAAATGTTAATTAGACATTAATTAACCTATCCAGACGATAATCAACTCTAGATGGCATCGCTAGCCTGCGATCTTTAGTGTATTGTGAGTCGATTTACTGCATAACTTTCCTTCACGATTTAACGATTAACTGGATAATCGAGACTATGCTGTTTATCGTACTGACTTTAGTAATGATGATCAATCGCTTTGTTCTCGGTTCATCAATTTGAATAAAATTTTTAGCAAAGTGCCTTTACATTATCTAGTTTTTAACTGTTATAGTGGGAACATCCAGCTCGTTATGTTATCGAATCTCCCATAATATATCTTTAAATCTGTGCATATTTAACTAGCCAATTGCACAAAATTAGCGTGAGTTTCGTGAAGCGTGATACTCTGAAAGAAAAAAGTTTTAAAAATTTAATTATGGGGGGTTGTGTAATCCGCCTCAGTTCACAATAATTTCAGGTTGTCTATTCCCCAAATTAGATATTTTGAGAATGACTTCACATTTACCTGTCATGGTAAAAATACCAATACACAGTCCCAGACTTCTACCAGCAAGCATTAAATCTTCACTATCTGCCTTTTTATTTCTACTATTTTTCCATGCTGCATAAATTCCAACACCCAGGATGATGATATAAAACACACAAATAGCTGCAAGACCTGGTATATGGATAGCCATGTTGGCCAAATCTTTAATCTGTAATTCAAAGACACTTGTTTGAAATGAAACTATATTATGGGCCATTATATCCTCCATTAGTTTCACGGTTATTGTTTTAAAATTCGCTCCTCGATTTCTTTTTACTTTACCATAATACCCACCCCTTTTCCACCCAATTAGTTTATTTAAAAATCTAATGGTTTGTAAAAACATTAACTACCTAATATCCCAGCATTGAGACATAGCATTAATTTGCTTGTAAACAAGTTAAATAGTCATTGAAATAATTTACCAACGAAATGTGTTGGGTCTCTGACAAATAGTTGCTCCAATAGTATAAACAAAGTAGGTTATATACTTACCTGAGAAGTAACCTAGTGACCCGGTGGTGTTGGTTTACCTATATCTTTTTACTCTCTCAACCTCTATTACTAATAAATGTATTGTGTACCCTGTAGCTATATATTCTGCTTTTAGTAGTTTTATAAAGGGACACGCCCAACGGAATCGATACTCCTCAAATATGAATGACTTCAGGTTTTACAAGATATACACATTGATACACGTGGGTTTAAATATAAAATCAAAAACCCAAACTTTATACAACCCTTTCGATACTGGTAGTGTATAACGGGATTACATAACCTAGAAAATTCATTGAACTCTATTTTTTGATGCTAGACTTTAAACAACGAGATTTGAAATAGCTTACTTATTTCCAGGTTTGTGTTATTGTCATCAATCGAAGGTTTCGATAAACTAAGCAATAAACAATTCTAAAATCCTTGCCACTATACTGTAGGTTAGTGCACGATACGCATAATTACCCCAGTAGGAGTACAGTTACCCTTTTACGTAATCTGCCTTCTTTCTTCCCCAATGTCTATTTTTAACAGTGGTTGTGTTCCCTCAGCTGTAAAATATACACTAATTTTATGTAGTTTATAAAGCAACACGCCCAGGGGAATCAAAGCTCTTTCGAATATACATTTATGTGCATGGGTTTTCAGAGCCAAAACTCTGAAAACCCTCCACTGATCGTTGCGTAACAATCACGGAAAGATTTTAATGGATTACATAACTCGGAATGGTCATTCTCTGCTATTTCGATAACTGCTTTTTAAAATGGAGTTGCTTAAAATCGGTTAACACTGAAATATCCCCGCAAACGTCACAGGGAAACAAGAGAGATGGTTGGTATAACTTCCAAACCTCCAACACATAGTTTGCCTCTTTAAGACTGGTCGTGTCACCTTTGTTAAAATTCTTGATTTACCGAATCCGCAAAGATCCCAGCGCCGGAGTTACGGGCTACCCAAATTTGGGTGGAGAACACTATCAAAAGTTCCATTTAATGACCGAGGGATTCTAATTTAAGTTGACAGTATGAAGATCATTCTCTGGGCCCTCAATCGGCAAACAATCGGGGATCCATATTAACTCCTGGTTGTTGATTTCGATGATGCCGCTTTTTACGCAAAAAGAGTTCCGTGTTTAATTTTGACTTTGGGCTTGAACTCCGCGGGTAGACCTCTATATGGTTAGAGTGCCGCCAGTTCTGCAACGACATGGTCAATGAAGACGGGCATACGTCTTACAGTGTGCAATGAGTGAAATATTTTGCCTGGACAGGGGTTGTTTTATGTACACGGGATGGCGGTTTTGCGCCCCTTCCATTCCTAACGACTATACATTGTCCCTCTCCAGGCCCTCAATCCTACACCGTTGACAAGGAGGAACCACGCCGGCAAATCCTGATGATCTTTCTCGGCCAAAACCGGAACCTCCAGGTTAGGGAGCCAACGCTTACTCACTGAGCCATCACGCCACCCACCAGTTCGTCAGCAAGTCAGAGAGAGAGATAGAGAGAGAAATGGGGTTTAACGTCCACTCGACACAAACTAGGTCATTTCGGGATAAACATTATTATGGTTTAATTTTATTTCAATAATTCGCTTGCGCGTCGGGGGTCTTTGGCAGTGGGAGGAAACCGGAGGACCCGGAGAAAACCGGTTGGACAGGCGACCCTAGTCCTTGTCACGTACAAACGGGGAATCGAAACCACGCCAGTTGACTCAATGACAGACCTTATGATACAGCGCGCACGTGCTAACCATTCGGCTATCCAACCCCCCCGTCAGCAAGTCAGAGATCATACATGCATTAATAATGATATAACAGGTTGTGAAGTTTGCTCTGAAATTTGGCAAGGTTAACCCGGCCCTGAAAGATACAAACTTTAAATGTAACATTTTGTTTTTTGTCATAATATGAAGACGTGGTATTTTATATGCCATAAAGATGGACGAAAAAAACCTGTTCGTATGAGGATGACATTTACGCCAACCAACGATATTGTTGACTTTAATAACTTTATCATCCACACGACATAAACTAGGTCATTTCGGAACTACCATATGCTACAATTTTATTTCAATATTTCCTTTGTGTGTATGGGTCTTTACCAGTGGGAGGGAACTCACGAGGCTGGAAAGGCGACATTCTCTGATCTTCCAAGCTTATTTAAAACATCTGTCAATTTGAAATTCAATAATACTATTGTTATTTTATTTAATAAGATTACAGGAGATCCTATTTTTGTATTTTCACTGGTAATATTTTCAGATAAAAAAAGTTTTTTATGAGTCTAATTTTAGCCTCGATGGGACATATCCTTTAATCACTGTAGACGTATAGATGAACAATTAGTACCTGGCGCACACTACGCGACAGCATAAGCGATTTTGGTCGCCGACGATGAAAAATCTATACATCGCCTAGTGTGTGCACCCGGACGCTATCATATTTGATATGATCGGCCAAGTCTTCACTTCGTCGGCAACAAATCGTGTAATGTACTCACCTGGGCGACTAGTTAAGCGACAATCAAGGAAATAAATCACCTATTAAACCAATCAATATTATGTGACATAACCACACACACGGTTTCGCTAAACTTTTTTCTGCTGCATCTGTAAGTGGCTCGGGTAATCTAAATTAGGCCTAACTTACTTATTGAAATTAACTTTGCAATTCTGGCACTAATCTAACGTGTGAACTGTAAAAGATGAAACATGTCGAATATAGACGTTAAGCCCAGTGGACTGTTCCATCTATAAATGAAATGAAATGGGGTTTAACGTCCTACTGTTTTGCTCCGAACTGGGCTAATGAAGACGGTGTTCCATCTATAAAGCAATATAGTCCTAGGATTCATAGATGGTCATTAGAATGGGCGTTGTTTTCTCCCGTACCTGTAGCGAGAAAATGGAGGGTGACAGTCAATCGCTCACCTGGCCTTATTTGTTCTCATCTTGGTTGTTTGTTTGGTAAAGAGAGAGCTAATTATATTTAGGATACTCTGGACTCATACTCATAGCGTATTTTCTAGACATACTATAGAGTCGTTCAAATTGAGCTCGTTACTTAGATTATTATAAACGCATTGGTCTTGACCAGCGTTGTACTTAGACGGATATGCCACCGCCTCATCATCATGTACAAAAACAATATTAATTGAAATATTCAACACGCTGACCACGAAAAAGCATTTAAAGATGTCACATGACGAAACACGTGACAAGTATTTTGTTCGATCGCAAGGGTAGTCGTGAAGTGTGCTACCTCCAGTTAAATTACGGCGATATTTGTCACCAAACTCGTCGCTTAAGTTGTCGCGTAGAGTCGTCAGGCGTAAATACATTAGCTGACAAGAACGCGAGTTATTTTCATGTAACTAAAGGCACAATGAATACATCACGGATGGCTAATTTTGTGTCTCCATCAGTGTATTGACTATATGTGAACTTCTCTTGACAGTTACTTTAAAATGTAATTATGACCAAGATTAAATATGGGATTTAATGTCCACTCGACACAAACTAGGTAATTTCGAGACTAGCATATGGTTCAACCATTCGACCAATTACACCCCCCCCCTCCACTGTTGATAGTGTGCTAATGTATTGATCAAAGAGTGTCATCTATTTAGGGTTTTGTAAATTCACGTTTCTTTGCCCGGCTTCATCTTTTCCACCTCAACCAAACTCTAATTTGCTTTCCCGAATAAACTAAAACACCCTTGTCGATTCTAGACCAAAACAGCCATCGGTACCGAGAAAGGAGAAGTAGTCATCAACATCTCGTTCCCCTGTTGGAAGGTACATAGGTAGATAATTTCTTTCTTATTCCAAATGAATAACCATAGTGTACATGTTATAAGAGGGATGATGTGTAGACGGTAAATCTTCATCACCAGGTACTATTAAAGATATTTTATGTAAGATTTAGATAAAGGGCTAGCCATTCTTGATATAATAGTTCGAAAATAGATAATATAAAATGAATAATTTGAAAATTTCATTCAAATTACTCTATTACGAGCGAAGATATTGAAGGTTTGACAAGACGTGTGTAACCGTACTGGTTGTTCGAAGCTAAGTCTCGCTCCTACAATATGGCTGAAGTGTTTTAATCTATTTAATATCGCAGAAATCCGATGCCATCGAGAGTTGATTATGGCCTGGATAAGTTAATTTATGTCTAATTAATAATTTAGAAAACCTTTTAGGCCTAAAGAGAGACCCGCAATAGGCAGATTTAGCTCTTGCACAATGTATGTTTAAATCTGCCATATATGCATTAAAATGGGTACATGGTTATTAAGATCCTTCAAATAATTCGTATATTAGATCTCTTCTTGAAAGCAGCAAGAGACTAAGCGGTAAGTCTGTTCACAAAAAGCATCCAGACACCCCAAACGTGTTACACGATTTAGTTCATAAGTTGTTGTTTATTACAAATTTAACGTCAAATACATTAAAATATGATATTGATTTAATTAAGTTATTATATATATATATATAATTGAAATTAAAGATGGCAAAATAAAACTACATTTTTATGCTAACGTTTTCACCGCGATAGCGGCTCTTCAGGCATTTATTAAACAATAATTCAATTAACAATAGTCTATGACGTCACATTGTCATAGTTACATTATTATACAGGCAAGGGTAGTTATTTCTTAGCCTACAGACTACAAATATTCTCTTATTTAGAATTAAGTTTCGGGTGGTACTTCTCAATAAAATAGCTTTCTTTTGCCTCCAAGAGGTCGTTGTTTTTGCTATTAATTTCTATATAAAGGAAAAACACTATTATATATATATAATAAAAAAATGTTCTTGTATATGAAAGAGTCCCATTAAAATTGCTGTCGTGAGGAGAGCGGCCGGGGCTTCTTCTCCCTTTTGCTGTTTGATAGTTGGTGTCATCACTGCAGATTGGGAAAAAACCGTTGGAAATAATCCGCTTGCTTTATGTGGAAAAGCTGGACCCGTGGATTATTTATATATTAAAAAATGTTCGTCCAATTTGTTACATACAGTTAAAAGTTAGTTACAAGTTATTTTCAATTCCTTTAAAACGGTTCACAACCTCAGCGTTAAATCATTTATAGTTTGCAGTCCTTTAAAGCTTTTCTCGTGTGTGACTCTTACCAGAAAAAAAAGTTACCTGAAAAGAAAAGAAGACCCAACAGCAACACAGAACAGAATAATTAAAACAAATTTATATTACTGGTTTATATTTATGGTCGGTAATTAAATCTTTAGTTCTCAGTCTTATGATTAACCAACAAAGTTTGCGCGATCGGTGATTGACCCCCGTCTTTACAACCAGATCGTTATTTAATTTGAATCTAAAAGTATTTTCTGTGGCTAACCCACTTTTCCATTCTGATTTAATTTTAGTTTAATTCTATTAAAGTTACGCTATATTTTAAGTCTTCGGTGTCGCAGAGGCTGAGCCCTTTGCGAGCCAGATTGTCTGCAGACTCATTGCCTACTAAGCCAACATGGGAT